TACCACCTAGCTGCCCCTGTGCCTATTTTAGATGGTGCCATTAAGATGGAAGCTCCATGAGGCAGAGGTCCTATTTCACTTTTTTTCCATATCTCCCTCCAACACAGCACTCTGTAGGCACTTAGTAAATGTTACTGACAAAGGAGACTATTACACACAATGCAGGCCATACCATAAATAAACACAGCACTGAAAGCCAGTCAATCTCAGTCCCAGAGAGCAAATGATAAAACACAATCCTCTAAGGAGAGGAAAAGTACCAGGGCTGCAGAGTATGGCTTACGCTGTCAGCTGCAGTCAATGTGGTTTTGGCTTAACTTTTTCTTTTACGAGAGAGGATTCAATGGTGGTAGTGGTGGTGGCGGTGGTGGCAGGAATGGTGCACATCAGGAAACCACTAATTTAAAAACAAAAATCATCTTTTAAACACATTTGCTGAATTGGAGAGGGGTACAGCTGAAAGAGCCTCAAACTTGGGGCAGAAGACCAAGGTACAAGTCCTTACTCTGTGACTAGCTATGAGACCTCAGACAAATCCCTCAGCCTCTCTGCCCCTCAGGATTCTTCTCACTCCATTGAAAAGGAGGCTTAAATGGCCTCACAGGCACCTCTCATCTCTAATATTCTTCTGTCAGCCGATGATCTAGAGTGGGCCAGGTCTGAACAAAAAGCCGTCAACCTCTGACCAACAACAGAGACAGACAGGAAGGGGCCACATTTCTGACTTGCGGTGAGGGCCCTGAAACACAAGACCACCATGTTCAATGATCTTTCTCAAGTCCTTGCAAAATAATGAAACAAACGAGGCAGGAATCCACAAGTAAGCCATCAGAGCAAGGAGAGGCACAGTGCACATGAGGGGAACAGGCGATGCTGAAATAAAAGTGGCCGTTGTTGGCTAAAGGACCGAGGTCAGGTGCTCCAAGTACGGTCCCAGAGGTCGCCCATTAGACTACGAGCTCTTCAATAGTAGAGGCTGCCTTTTTTGCTTGTATTTGTATTCTTAGGACTTAGCACAATGCTAGGCACATAGTAATAAGCAATTAATAAATCCTCCATTCATCCATCCTATTTACCTATCTACACGCATTTATCTATATCAGTCTCTATCCATCTCTATTTCTCCACCTACCCATCTCTCTCTAGCTCTATCTACCTACCTCTATGTATCTCTATCTATTTATCTATATCTATCTCTATCCAACTATATTTATCTCTATCTCTACCTCTATTTATCTCTATCCCTATCCATCTCTATCTCTCTAGATATATTTATCTATCTCTATCTCAATCCTTCCCTCTATATCTTTATCTCCCTATCTCTCTCTCTAACGCTAGTCAATGGTGACCTAAAATGAATCTCAATTTTCCCATACCTCATAGAGCCAGTTAAAAAACTGATTTTCAAATCATACTTGAGGATTTTCACTCTATACACTTAAGACCCATCCTTTCATAAGGCTGGTGTTATAGCTCAGGAGGGCAGCCCACACACACTCACCAAGACCCCCTAAAAGCCTCTGTCCTGACAAATGGTGGAACAAGAGTACCCCCTGGTGATATATACAGCAGGATCTCCCCTTGCTCCTTCCAAAGGTACCAGGGAAAGGAGAGACTGGAAGAACTGCTATTAGCCCAAGTCACCCTGGGGTAGATGAAAAAAGGCACTTCATTTTGATGATTCAGCTGAAGGACAGAGATTACCTAGAGGTTATTTGCTAGAAAAAACCAAGCCTTTTGGCATCCGAATTTCTAGTGCATCACAAAACTTCCTGCTATTATTTAATAACACACCCTCTCCTCCTCCAGCCATCACTGTTTCCCTGGTAACCGACGGAGAAATAGCAGCCTGCCAATGGGCTTTTGTCACTGCCTCTCCAGCTTGTACTGCAGTGTAGAATTAAAGCTGGCCAGGGAAAGCACCCAGCTAATCGTTACATCTGGGCTTCAATGCTGCAGCAAAATCATTTGGAGACACAACTGGGTTGGGGCCCAGGAGCCTTGAGAGCTTTGATGGCCTTGGAGTGCTGAAATGAAAAGGGGGCTGGCTTCTAGATACACTAAGAGGCAGTGGGATGAGTGGAAAAGTTCCTGGAGCAGGAATCAGGAAACCCAGATTTTAGGTGCAGCTCTTCCCCTGACCAGTCGTGTGACCTTGGTGCAGTCACTCCCATCTGCCAGCAAAGCCTAGACCCAGCAGCTTCCTGTATGATGAAGGGTCAGACAAAGATGAGACCCAAAGTCCACTCCCATTCCAACATTCTGTGTTTCTGTACTGACGCACTTGAGCCACACCTTCAGAATATGCTAAAGGTGTCACTAAGTTTGCTCTAAAACCCCAAACCAAACAAAGGAGGACCGCAAGGAAAGAAAGGGCACTCCAGCCCAGGAGCCATGACAAGGATGAGGCCGGGCATGTTAAGAGAGGTGAGGGATTCCTGATGGGGTGGAATGTGGACCCCAGGTGTTATGGTGGCTCAGTTTACTATGTGAATCGCAGAGGGAAGGCCTGACATCTGTAAAACAAAATCATCCCAGCACTGTGAGAAGCCAACAGAAAAAGCACTGAAGACACTGGAGCCGTCTGCAGACGACTGTTAACTCCAGAAGTTTGCCACAGTATCCAAAGGAAAAGGGAGCACGTACTCACTTTGTGGAGAAAGCCACTGGGTCCGTTTTTTTTAAAAGCCAAGAATGTAATTTTCTCTGAAAGTGACCCTAAGTCCAAACTACCCTCGAGCGGAGTGGCAGGCCCCTGCACGGCAGAAGGCTCACTTCCCACATCACCCTGCAGGCAGGAAGCAGCAGCTCAGACAAGTCAGACAGATCAGGAGAATAGGAGTTAGAACTGACAGGAGATTTCCCCAGCCCCCAAATGTCCTCCTGAAAGAAAAGGAGATCGTGCGAGCTTTCCCCGAGCAGCAAAGAGGCACAGGCAGAGAACAAGCAGCCTAGCATCCCAGAGGCCATGCGCATCTGAATTCACTCTCTTTCCCCAGACTGCAGGAACTATGTTTGTGGACCTGACTTTTCCAGAGAAAACCAAAGAGACGCCCAATTTGGGAACACGTGTTTCCTTTCTTCTACCCTGGGGGAGAAATGAGAGGAAAAATGAGAAGCCTGTTTCCAAGGTTATCAGTGCCAAGACAGGTGCTTATGCTTCCAGCCTGGCTGAACTTGTGGCAGGCATTACAGGCAACTTGCAAAACCCATAACCTTGTCAAGATGCTGATCTCTGCAGCAACAAGAGAAATAAGCAAGAGAGCTTTTCACGTTGCTGTAATCCAAATCTACTTTCGTCTAAAGATGCCACTCCCAGACACGGGGGAAAGGTTATTTGATAGCTATATTCATCAATTTGTTAATTCACTTCACATGTACTCAACATTCAGTTTCCTTGCCTGCCCCTTTACCTTTGAAACTGAAACCAGAATTAAAGGGGTTTGTTAATATTTCATCAAAATCTAACAAAGCTGGGCCAGGCAATGGAGACAGAGCTTAGTACATACAGTGGTTCCCAACGGGTGCGCCAGAGAACCCTGGAGGACTTTATTTAACCTTGGAGGACCAGGCACCGCCATTCTGATAGCGAGTTATTCCCAACAAAGCATAACCTTGTGGGGTTTGGCAAAATGGGATGTTCAGAAGGAGGCCTTCACCCCGCCTGTTAATCACTGGCACATCAGATCGGTGCTGGCCTTTGAACCAGGAGATCAGATCTGAAGACCAGGCTCTGCCAGTGACTAAGCAGGTAACTAGGGCCAAGCACTTAACTCCCCTGAGCCTTGACTCCTTCTTCTGTAAAATGGGGATGACCTTTATGGGAGCTGGCACTTAGATTCTGAGATTCAAGGTTCACAAAGCACTCCACAAGTGCATAGTCCTGTGAAGGAGCTAGTGCATTCCCTCTTTACAGAAGAGGACACCAGAGTGCAGGGTGAACAGCAGAGCGAGGGTCTGAACTCAAAAGACTTATGACTCCAAGTAGCAGCCCCCTCCAAACAGCTACCTTGCCACTCCTCTACAGAAGGAGTAAGACAGTGTAATAACCTACACAAAATAAAATGCAGAGGCCACCACACACAGTGTCTCGGCATCTACATGTGACCCAGCGAACAACTGCTCCATCTAGCTTTATCCTCAGAGAAAGATTTCTGAGAAAGGACAGACATCAAGTGCCAGGTGACCAATGTGTCCACGGTCTGAATCGGGTCATATTTAAAAAGCCACCTGTAAGCACAGCACCCTGGCTGGGATCTCGTCAGAGTCTCTGAGCCGAACCGTACCAGGACCCAGAAAAGCCCAGGTACAGAACAAGCGTGGGGGAGACTGCCTCTCGGTGTGGACTTCCTACCACGTTTCTGCTCCCCGCAAGACTGTGATACTGAACCCACCCACCATTAACAACCGCAGTAGCCACGATCCAGGGGGCTCTTTAAAAATACCATAGCACTTGGGGCAGGAGTCAGTCCAAGCGTGCTTGTGCGTCAAGAGGAAGTATCAGGATGATTTACTGAAAAGAACTGGGAAAGCTAAAGCCCTGACTCCTGGAGCCAGTTCCATCACCAACTTTCATGACCACAAGTCCGCTACACGTCTAGCTGGCTCAGCTGCTTTATCTGCAAGAATAAAGTAAGCCACTCGTACGTCAATGACACGCTGAAAATATGAATAAGGCTACAATGAAATGGCTGGCCACAAGTGGGATGTCATCCGGACGCCCGCCGCTCTCCCCATTACCCACAATGTTCCTGCTTTCTCTAGCTGCCTTCACTGTACTGTGCTCCACAGAAGCCCCTTGGACTTACTCTGTACGTGTCTTTTACGTTCCCACATGTTATCTCCCCTCAAAAGAATGTAAGTTTCTTGAGGACAAGGACTATTTATTTCACAGCACAGCACTGCAGCTGACACACAGCTGGTGCCTGACAGCGATTCCAACAACGGTGCTGACCTGCACTCTACCCCGGGGATCACGTGGGGTCACAGTGAGTACTCACGGGGGGGGGCTTCTTCCTCATTTCAAAGACGCGTGTGGCCCCCAAGCTGAGGGAGGCGATGATGGGGCACGCCCCCAGCGAGGGCTCGTCATCGCTGTGCCAGTCGACGCTGTCCTTGTCGTTTCGATAAAGGTTGCAGAGTAGCGAGTTGAAGGTGTGGCCAGTGTTCTCTTCGATGCGGCTCTTCAGCATGCTAAGCACGGGATGCCACTGCAGGGGATGGGCAGAGCAAAAGGAGAGGACAGAGCAGAAGTGAGAGGCGGTATCAACCAATGGCTTAGAAACAAGGATGTGGGATGCTGCTCTGGAACCCACTCCCAAGCATGTCCAACAGCTGAGTTTTTGCTCTATTTCTGTAGCTACATTAGCACAGCATTATACCATTTAATCCTTTTCCATTACACTTGATGACAAACTAGTATAAAGACTGGTCACCCTCTGCAATATTATATTGGAATCAGACTGATAATGACAACAATTAGACTTGGTCTACACCTCAGCTGGAGGCAGCTAGTGGCTCAGTGGATAGAGCACCAGGCCTGGAGTCAGGAAGACCCTAGTTCAAATCTGGTTTCAGACAGTCACTAGCTGGGTAACTCTGGGCAGGTCATTTAACCTTTGTTGGCCATAATCCACTGGAAAAGGAAATGGCAAACCACTCCAGCATCTTCGGCAAGAAAAGGCCCCACACGAACAGTGGGACCTGACTAAACAAGACCATCACCACGACCATCATGGTCACAAAGGACCAGAGCAAATCTAGCTGTCCAATTCCTCTTCTTTTCAACACAAACAGTTGGTACATAACCCACTGCAGGGAGACAACTGTCACTAAACAGAACCAGGGTAAACCATGTCTGTGAACAATAAGGTTAATAAATTGGCAGGCTTGTAATAGCTCTGGTTCAGAACTATCATATCAGACCAGGCACATCTGATGGGTCTCCAGGTAGCTAAAAGGTACCAACTGGAGTTCTCTGGCATGAATAACCACCCTGCTCTGTAACCCTCCTTCTGCTAATTCTGTTCCTGTATTTATTTTGAAAGATGGGATTGTTTTTATTTATGTTTATTTTGGGGAGTTGTAAAAATAATGTAAAACAAAGATCAATAATTCAATCATTACAAATGTACTGAGTACCTCCTCCACGTGAGGGACCACGCCAGGGGCGGCACAGTAGGGGATACAGCGCCAAGTAAAATTTGCTCCCTGTCCACAAGAAGTAGGGGAGAGAGAGAACAAGTAATCAAATAAGAGTAATGCCGGGTGGAGGCCGAGTGCATCACGGAGGGGGCAGCCAAGTGCTGAGGTCGGAGGAGGAGATCAGGGGAAGCTTCTCTCCCCTGCCCCAGGATCGGGGCAGAGGAGGCACTTCAATAGGGGTCCTCCACTGCTTTGAGACCGGGTGGGGGGGGGAGGGATTGTTTTCACCAAGATTTTAAGACTGCCTTCTCTATGGTCTGCTTTGTACAGAGAGTAAAAAGCCAATTGTCTTTCACTGAATGGGAACCCTGACTGTACTTCTACATGCGTTCACTGAGGGCTCACGAAGACTCACAGAGCCTCCCCTGTGCCCTGCGGGGTTCTGGGTCACCGAGGCTGGCTGGTTCACTTGGAGACTTTGGCTCTGTGAGGAAGCTCCTGCTTTCTCACTACTTGGCAGGAAGCTCTGACCCCAGCCTCACGAGGCACTTTGCACCTTCCACTGGGGCACCCTGAATTGTTTCTTTGTTGTTACAGTTTCTGTGCCTTTCCTCCCAGAAGTCCAAACAAAGTGCTCTATAGAATTCTTCAAAGATTCTTCAAAAATGCACCATCGTGCGTATGAAGGTGGAGGAAAGGACAGGAGCCAAAGAAAACCATCAGTATTCAGGGTCACTCAGGGTTCTGGGCTGCTAAGATCATCAAGGAAGGGCTTTTAGAGAGTCTTGCTTTTCATACTTATGTGAAAGCCATAACAGTGGTTGGGGAATGGGGCCAGGGGAGGGTAGAGTTGTACTTAGCCCGTAACTATTTACTTACTACTACATTTAGTAGTAACAGAGCCAAGATCTGACAAGTCAAGCCCTTTTCCTCCTAAAAGTTCCTCAGACAACATAATTAGCTACATTTCCTGATGATTCTAAAGCTCTGCACTTACTGACAACATCACAATAACAAAGCTCAGCCAGGACTTAACAAGGAAAGAGGCATAAATCATAGTGTCTCCGTGCATATATAATTGCTCAATAAATATCGATTGAAGTGAATGAAAAAAGAGAATGGTCTTTCTGCAAAAGAGCTGAGGAACTCTCAGGAACAACTCTTGGTGTGCCCAGGTTTTACAGTTCGCAGGATGTAACGTAATAAATTTTGTGCTGGTTCTCGGTTGCAATTGTCGCCATTCTTCTTTGTGGCAGGTTGACGGAAAGATAGGGGAGAAGAAAGGACAAAGCCTCCCTTTATCACTATTGCACCGACTCCCCCAATTCCCCCACAACCCAAAGAGTGGCACTTCTAAGGGAGCCTAAATGTCACTATCTGACATACTCAAGAATGGCGACCCATCCTGAAAAGTCGAGGGAATGCGGTAAATGCTAAAGAAATAAAGGAATCCCAGAGTTAAAACGGACATGGAGAGTGCAGCTAGCTAGCCCATATCCCCCTTTCAGTAAAAACTGCATCTAAGGTGCAATTTAAAGCTAAGAAGTAAACAAACTCTTCTGGTTAGGTGATAGTTTACTCTGTTTTAATGAAAAGTCTACAAAGGGTGCTTTACAACTTCACTTGGTCCCACATTACCTTAGATTGGTTACCTTAACCCATATACCAACTCTGAAAATTAGGTTGCAGGTTAAAGAGATTTTAAAAATCTATCTGCAAAGCTGAAGTATGTTCCCAACAAACTACTCAATTTCAAACTAAAGAATTCTAATCCTTCTGAATGAATTTCAATCTGCCAACAGGGTCTAGAAAGAGAGAAGTGCTGGGTGAGTTCCTACTTTAAACCACCACTTTTTAACAGGCTCCGTGTGTCTTCCCACTTAACGTGGCAAGAGCCACCATCATGAATAAGAGTTGTTCCCCACTCCCAGCCTCAGTGCTCAACTGCCGTGACCTGGTTCAATAATTGTTGATAACGAGAGACAGTTAAAGATGCCAAGTAACATGGGCAACAGTAAACTATAAACTGGAACGAGAGCTCAATGCCCAACAAGGTTTCCAAAACACCCTCAAGAGGTCAAGGGTCTATTACCTCCCTGGGCTACACGCAAAATAGCAAACCAGGAATAAATGATTACAAAATCTTAATTGAAAAACCATGATGATTTGGTCAATATTTTTACCCTCTCACATCTTCTTCGGGTGTAAATTTTCCATTACAAATTAACCAGCATCTGCCACAGATTGACTACATCCTCTGAAATTCTGACGCTTCTGTTTGTTCACATACAGGGAGCAGAATCTCCTTTTCTTCCAAGTTTATTAATTAACACATAACATCCCTTGCCAGTGGCAAGGCTCCTCCAAACTCATCAGGGAGCTCTTTCTTATGTACCAACTCCATCCTCTGGACAATTTTAATTTACAGACCAGGCTATAAAGGCCTACCCTAGTGGACATTTCAAACAAAGCAAAAGGGAGGCAGAAACATCCAAGAAGATGACAAGCTGGAGGTCGGAAAGCTCCAGTCAGCACACACAACACAGAAAGCTCCAGATTCTTCAGAAATGACAAAATAGCCTGGGGGAAGGAAAGGGACGATCTGATTTCATAGGGCAGGCTCAAGGATACTACCTCATAGTATGGAGAGACGAACATATACGTAGAAGGGAGAATGGCTGAGAAAATGAGCCATGCTAAGCACTGCTTCTATTCTCATTCTCAATTGTTTCACTAGGATCACAAAAAGAATGTGAAGAATAACAGTCACCAAGGGCTGAAGGACTGGTGCCGCACCCCCAGACCCTATCCAGTAGGAGTATTCTTTTCAACTTCTATACTACACATTCTCTCATTAATTAAAAATCAATACATCAATTATAAAATTTGAACATACTTCAGGATTTGGCTCCATTGTAATTCTGGAATAAGTGTAAGGGAGTTCTCCATACCACGCTGTCAACCTTGGCTGCAGATAACTTATACCTACAGAAAGAAAGAAAGACAAGGCCTCTGGAATTTTTCAACTGGATTTAATTAATTCTGATATACATAGTTCTAATATAGTAAATAATATCCCCCCTTGCAAAATCTGTGTAAAACCCAAGTGTGGTCTCTAATGGGAGGGTGGGGGGGTGGGAACATAAACACATATGAACATTGTTTTTTCTTTTCAAAGAGACTTCACTCTATGAACACAGGTTACACTGGAATCAATACAGTTTTTGAGTGTTCACTAAGAGCTCTGCAATGTATTAGATGCTATAGAAAATGCAAGGGAAACACGAGGCCCCTCCCTCTAGAAATGTCTTTCTTAGACACGAAGCACAGAGGAATACAAGATAATGCATGATTAGGGTGTCAAAGTGTGTGAGCACAGGTAGTAAGTACAACAGGAATGCACAGAGGAGACTGATGTGGGCAGTGTAGCTCAAGTGAGCCATTAGGCGGGCCTTGGGAGGATGGGTAGGACTCATACAGGCAGATAGAAAGAGTCAAGATATCCCATACTGAGCAAATTACATAAACAAAGGTCCAGAGAGCAGAATGTGCATGATGAGTTAAGGCTAAAAGACATTTACCTGAAAGGAGCCACCAGAGAGGAATGAGCGATGAGGCTAAGGAGGGGAAAGGCAGGGACATGGTGAGGGAGATGAATGGTAAGAAGAGAAGTGACAATGGCTTTTTTTAAAGAATCCCTCTTCCTCCAATGTCCAAAGGCAGGGGAAAGGGTCCCACTACATCAGCCCGTGCCCAGGCTGCATGTGCCTGGGACAGGGTGTGAAGCCAACAGGGCAGCAAAGCCCTCCTGTCAAAGCCAGCCTTCAGCCAACTGAAGCAGTGACTCCCTAAGACCCGCCTCCCCTTTTCCTGTCACTTCCAAAGGGCCTCTCCTTTTTATGTAACTGCTCTCAGAGAGGGGACACTCAGGAGCTGAGGCCAGTGTGCACTGCTCCCCTTCCCCTCCTGCTGACAATGCCAAGGAAAGGCCATGGCACAGGAGCCCCCCAGTGACGACATGTGGTAGAGCAAGCACCCAGGATGGCTTCATACTCCAACTGTCTCTGGGTTTTTAATTTGGCATTAAAACATATGTTATGCTTATAATTCTCTGCAACATGAAATTAAAAGTGCAAGAGAGAGAAATAAAAAGGCTGAAGCAACGGGGAATGGGTCCTTTCCATTAAGAGGTGCAAGATTTTGAAGTCACTCAGCAAAAGCCAACAAAGGGCTTGCTTCGAATGATGGGACCAGCAGGAGAGCTGCTGCTCAGACACAAAGAAAGACTGACTGTGTGAAGCAGGAAGGAGAAAGCTGATTCCAGAGCTAATGAGGGCAGGGAACAAAGCAGATGAGAGAAAACCAAGGCAACTACAGAAGAGAGTTTTACAAAAAAGGTTTCAAATGAAGAATGGGTAAAAAAATCAAAAAAAGTGTTGGAAAAGGAAGTGCCTTTGGATGTTCTCCCGTTGGACCCTGACGCCCATTCCTGGAGGGAAGCTAGGCAAGCAGAGCTGGTCTGACAGATGAGGAACACCAAAGAGGCCAAGCAGCTCACCCAGTCACCAAGACAGCTAAGCAAGGAGGGAGTGGCAGAAGGGAGCATGGCGGAGGTGAGCGTGAGGTGAGCGTGATGGAGGTGAGGTGGAAGAGGTGAGCATGGCAGAGATAAGCGTGGCAGAGGTGAGAGTGATGGAGGTGAGTGTGGAAGAGGTGAGCGTGGCAGAGGTGAGAGTGATGGAGGTGAGCGTGGCAGAGATAAGCGTGGCAGAGGTGAGCATGATGGAGGTGAGTATGATGGAAGGGAGAGTGATGGAGGTGAGTGTGGGCAGAGGTGAGCATGACGGAGGTTAGCATAACAGAGGTGAGAGTGATGGAGGTGAGTGTGGGCAGAGGTGAGCGGGACGGAGGTTAGCATAACAGAGGTGAGAGTGATGGAGGTGAGTGTGGAAGAGGTGAGCGTGGCAGAGGTGAGAGTGATGGAGGTGAGTATGGCGGAGGGGAGTGTGGCAGAGGTGAACATGGTGGAGGTGAGTGGCTCAGGTCTCCTGACTCTCAAAATCAGGGCTCTTTCCATGTTCAGTAGTTAACTGCCTGCAGGACAGATATGGCTGTGTCTAGGAGGCACTGTATATATATATAACCTAAAATAAAATAGTCTCTGGAAGTCTGAAAAGGGGAGGCAAGTGTGTCAGGAGGGCAGCCTGGGAGTCAGGAAGACTTGGGTTCAAACCCTGCCTCTGGCAAATATGGACTGTGTCCCACAACCTCAGTGCCCCAGGCAGGCAGCTGTAGAGGATGTGCTGTTGCATGCAGGTAGAGAGAGTTCCCTCAGCAGGACACTGCTCCCCACAGCAATGAAATTAGTGGTCTACTCCAAAAACTCTGAAAGAACAACTGAAAGTGATCACATGAATTAGAAGAGAATTCAATAAATTCAGTAAACATTGATTAAGCATGTACTATGTGCCAGGCACTGTGCTAAGCCCTGGGGATACAAAAAGAGGCAAAAGACAGGCCCTGCCCTCCAGGAACTCCCAGTCTAATGGGGAGACAGCGTGCAAACAAAGCAACCTAGATACAGGATAAATAGGAAATGATTAAAAGTTGGGGAAGGTTTCCTGTAGAAGGTGGGGTTTTAGTTGGGATTTATAGGAAGCCAGGCAGGTCAGCAGTGGGAGCAGAGGAGTGAGAGCCTTCCAGGCATGGAGGACAGCCACAGAGAATGCCCTGAGCTGAGAGATGAGCGTCTTATTCATGGATCAGCCAGGAGGCCAGTCACTGGATCAAAGAGTATGTGTGGGAGAGTAAAGCATAAGAAGACTCAAAAGGTAGGAAGGGGCTCAGTGATGAAGGGTTCTGAATTCCAAACAGAGCATTTTGTATTTGCTGCTGGAGGCAAGACAGAGCCACTAAAAGGCATTGAGTGTTGAGGGGAGGGGGTAACATGCTCGGACATTTGCTTTAGGAAAATGACTTTGGTGGCTGAAGAGGGAATGGACTGCAGTGAAGAGAGACTTGAGGTCAGCTATTGCAATAATTGGAGGCTACTGTAATAACCAGGTGAGGTGATGAGGGCCTGCACTGGGCTGGTGGTAGTGCCAGGGGAGAGAAGGGGGTATATTCAAGAGATGTTGGAATGGTGAAATCAGCAGGCCTTGGCAAAAGTTTGGACATGTGGGGTGAGGGGCAGTGAGGTGTCGAGGATGACCCCTAGGCTGTGAGCCTGAGAGACAGGAAGGAAGGTGCTGCCCTCTCTAGTAATAGGGAACTTGGGATGGGGGAGAGTTTAGGAGAAAGGGTAAGTTCTGTTTTGGACATACCAACTGTAAGATGTCTACTGGATGTTGAGTTCAAGATGTCTAAAAGGCAGTCACAAATGTGAGATTGGGACAAGATAGGTAGTTTTGAGAAACATCAGCGCTGAGAGGATAATTAAATCCACGGGAGCTGATAAGATCACCAGGAGAAATAGTATTGAGGGAGAAGAAAAGAGGTCCAGGGGCAGCAAGGTGGTGCAGAGGATAGAGCACCGGCCCTGAAGTCAGGAGTACCTGAGTTCAAATCCAACCTCAGACCGAACACTTGACACTTACTAGCTATGTGACCCTGGGCAAGTCATTTAACCCCAACAGCCTAATAAAAAAAAGAAGAAGAAGAAAAGAAGTCCAGAACTGACCCCTGTGAGACACCTGTGATTAGAGGGTGTGATCTGGAGGAGGACCCAGCAAAGGAGACAGAGAAGGGGCAGTCTGCAAGGTAGGAGAACCAGAGAAAGCAGCATCCCAAAAAACCTAGAGAGAAGAGAACATCAAGGAGGAGAGAGAGAGATCAGAAGCCGCAGAGAGGTCAAGGACAATGAGGACTAAGAAAAGGCCATTGGATTTGGCAGCTAAGAGACCATGAGCAACTTAGGAGAGAGCAGTTTTGGTGGAATAAGGTCAGAAGCAGATTGTAAAGGGTAAAGAAGAGAGTAAGAGGAGAGAAAGTGGAGGCCTCTGCTGTAGACAGCCTTTTCAAGGTGAGCCACAAAGGGCAGAAGAGAAATAGGAGACAGTTAGCAGAGATGGAAGGATCAAGTGAGGGTTTTTTCAGGATAGAGGAGACATGGGCATGTTTGTAGGCAGCAGGAAAGGAACTAGTAGAAGAGGGAGAGCCTGAAAACAAGTGAAAGAGAAGGGAGGACAGAAAGGGCAATCTATTGAAGGAGACAGCATGGACTGGGATCGCTTGCGCTGCAGGTCGTGGGGCCAGCACTTCACATGAGAGAGGTGATAGAGCTATGGGAGATGAGGAAGGAGGCAGAAGGAGCTCTTGGGGAGTGGCCTTAATTTTTTCTGTAAAATGTGAGGCAGGGTTCTCAGCTGAGAGGGTTGAGGGAGGTAGAGCCATGGGAGGTTTGAGGAAGGGGACAGTGGGAGAGGAAGTCTAGCAGCAGTGAGGGTCCAGTTTGTTTGCATAACCTCAATCTGTAGAGGAACCAATCAGAACGATTGGGTGATTTTCTCTACATTCATTCATCATCATGTGTGCAGGTGTGAAGGTGATAAATGGTGGAGGTGATCTAAGGCCGAGGCTTTGCTAGGTGTAACTGGCCATATGCAGGGGGCTAGGGACTCAAGAGAGGAAGACAAGGTAGAACTGAATTAGTTCACCAAGGGGTCAAGATAGAGAGAAGAGGAAGAATGCCTAACACAGAGGAGATGGCCCAGGAGGAAAGCAAAGGCTATGGGGCGAACAAAGACTTAGGCTGCATAAAGGAAGGCAGAGGGAGAGGTGAAAGGCCAATAGATTATGACCAGATAAGGGAATTTCCAAATTCTTAAACACGGAGGTGGTACATCTGCGGGTAATGGCAAGATCCAGGATGTGAGTGTCTTTGCAGGCGGCTGAAGTGGAGTGGGGGAGAAGCTGATGGGAGAAGAGGAGGCTCAAGAACTGAGTACTTAAGAGTTAGAAACATGAGCTTACAGACCATAAGAACTTAGAACAAGCCCTGCAGAAATAAGCCTGTAGGAAATGAGCCACATGCAAAAACTGGACAGAACATAACAGAACACCAAGTGTCCCCGTTTCTTAGGTTCATGATGCTTCTTGACAAGAAATGTGTCCCATGAATGGAAAGAAAATTGAAAATGATGTTCACCTTTTATGAGCTAAGATGTTCGAAGCTCTTGTGATGTGATCCTAGCTTAAAATAAGAAATGCTCATGTGAGGAAAGGTAATGAGTTTCCCTGAACTCACCCTCTCGAATACCAGTCCTCTGCTTCCATGGAATATCTTGGCACAGCTGTTCAAATATCCAATCTGCTTCTTCTGATTCAATGAAATTGGGAAACAAGCGTATCCTGATAAAGGAAGCAGAAGCATGACAAATTAAAGTGCACCAAGGCAGAGATAACTTGTACAGATGTCAAAGCAAACAAGCAATCTATCAGGGCATTTCAACCTCCTACTAATCAAAAGGCACTTTGGAAAAAGGGACACTGTGTGTGACTAGACATATCGTGTTGTGGAAACTAGAGGGGACTGGGCCGTAATAGCATGCAAAGAGATTGCATAAGCTAGAAATGTTATGAGAGTACCCTACTTGGGATCTTTAAAAGGACTAAAGAGGTCCAGGCCTAGCAACAATACGCAAGCTCAATCTGTTTAGAGGATCTGGCAGAAAACACAGCGCACAGAGTGCCCAGTACGTTCTATCTTCAAAAAAATACATGACTGCTCTATAATAATTTTTGCAAACAGTTACTCTGCTCAGGTAGGAAATAAACAAAGTATATTAAAAGCTTATAATATGCTATATAATCAAATGAACTGATAGTAAAAAACAAAACAAAACAATAAGATCCGCTGTGAGGAATGTTTCATGAAGCCAGGCAAGAAGAATGAGAGAAATAAATGCACCCAAGATAAGAAATACGGGCAGAGTAGAGAGAAGCACGAACAAAGGATGCTAGCATCTCAACCATGAGACTGGCACACAAAGTACGCCAATTTGTGACATAATGACTGTATGCTATAGTTGAGAAAAAGAATATAAACTAGGTGGATGGAGCCCCTGACCTTGGCTTATCTGAAAACACAGGCATCTGAGGTAACGAACAGAATCACTCCCTAACCTTGGCTGCATGCCTTTGTGTCTTAGGATCAAACACGCAGCATGCCATCCCCGCATCTGCCCCTCCCTTATCCCCCATCCCCCCTCAAATCCCCCCCACAGCAAAGGAAGAGGCAGTGTCTAGTCAGGCGAGGTCAAGACACTCGGACCATGATGCCCTAAAGCCAATGAGTCACGGTTCAGATCTTCAGGATGAAACACACAAAGGAAAGTGAGATTCTCCAAAGGATTGCGCCTGCTCTCTGCTCTTGTGGGAATCTTTCAGCTGTTTAAGAGCTCCCCAGAGAACAACTATCCGATGTTCTCCCTATTCCTGAGAGTGCCCTCACTCTGGAGATGGGAAGAGGCAGGGAAGAGACCCTAAGATATGTGACTTTAGGCAAGATGCCCCACCTTGATGAACCTGTTTTAAATCTATAAAATGGGGGAAATGATCTTTTCAGAGGGAGGTGGAGCCATGGGAGGTTTGAGGAAGGGGAGAGTAAGTCTAGTAGCTGTGAGGGCCCAGTTTGGCCGTGTAACCTAAATCTGTACAGGAACCAGTCAGAATGAGGAAAGCACTCTGAAATATTTAAAGTGCTGCGTAAATGTAAGTTAATATTACTGTTAAGTCCATACTCTTGTCTCTTGACAATACACTAGTGAAGGGCAGAGCCTATGTCTACTCTAGGCAATACATAATTCCCATAATGCAGTGTTATCATACATAGTAGGCAATCCTTGTCACAGTGAAAGATGAATCTGGGGTAAACAACACTGCAACCTATGATGTTTTCATAGAAAACTTAATTACTCAAGTGTTAAGAAAAGTAAATGTTCTAGGATTTTCAGTCTCCTGAATCAAGAACAATTCCCCTTTGGACATCCCTCTGCCAGTTCCAAGGAATGCTATGAGATGCAATTATAGGCAACAGGTCGCTCTGGCCTAGAGGTCAACCTCCTGGACATTTATCACTTAAGAGGACAACTCAGCACTCAGCCAGGCTGGACCTTGGACAGCAGCCACAGACTGTCACCAGACCCATGCTTAAGGTCCTTGTAGCTCAGTGGAACCTGCCAGAGCACAGTGGAACCTGCCAGAGTTCCTGTTTCCCAGGCAGAGCCTTCAAAGCTCATTTGTAATAAGAATGATTCCTTAAAAAGACAAGCATACTAGAATTTAGCTGGCCAAATGATGGTTGTATCTTTCAAAATGGTCACACTGGGAGGTCTCTTCCTCATTCCAACACTGGAACTGCCTTCAGAAGGACAGCTTTTGAATATTCTCATTTGTGACAAATCTTCTCTTTGGGGAGAGGGGGGGATTAAATTCAGGAAAAACCACAAGTAATTTGGAGCCAAGACTGATGGAAAACAGTGAGTAAAATGGCAGTCTGTATCAAAATGCAGCCTGACTACAAAACAGTAAGGATGTTCATCCTGGGTGCCTTACAAATGGGTCCCGAAGACAATTCCCAAAGGCACTCCATGAACCATCCAAACCAATAGCATCATCACTAAATGGCAGAGTGCACAGCATGCTGGATCTAGGAAATCAGGAAGACGCGCATTCCAGTCCTCCTTTAGATGCTGGCTGAACCATCTGAGCACATAGTTACTGAGCCTCTCAGCTTCAGTTCCTCACCTGTAAAATAAGGACACTGAATGAGACAGCCTCTAAATTAGCCTCTGCTGCTTCCAAATCCATGCTCCTACGAACTTTCAAAGAAAACATTTACTCAGATCAATTAAGTTCTGGTCTGCTTAAAATTTTTAAGTGTCTTTTTATTCGCATCTCATATTTTCTATGGGTGTAAAAACTACAAGAAGGTAGTTTCATTTTCTTGGATACTGGTGAAGTAGCCCAGGCCCCGAGTCAAGAGACAACTGTTCTGGCACTAATTCTCCCATCAGCTTGCTAAAGGACCTGGAAAAGTCACTAAACAGCCCTTCTGCAGCTATTAAAAGTTAAAAGAAACTTGCCTTTTTAATCTTTGTTTCAAGGGATGGACCACTGGGTAGGGAAGGGAGAAAGGCTATACTCAGAAATGAATGTGATGGAAAAAAAACCAAAAATGTCCATGAAAATCAGATTTTTAAATCCAAAAAGGAATTTTTGGAAAAAAATTAGAGGGGCAGCTAGGTGGCGCAGTAGATAGAGAACCGGTCCTGAAGTGAGGAGGACCTGAGTTCAAAATCCGGCCTCAGACCAACCACTTGACATGTACTAGCTATGTGACCCTGAGCAAGTCACTTAACCCCAATTGCCTCGCAAAAAAAAAAAAAAATTAGAGATCATTTTGTCCAAGCCCCCTCACTTTACAGGTCAGGAAACAGAAGTATCCTTGTTCTCTAACCCAAGCTGCCAAATAGGATTCATGAGTTTGAAGTCAAATACTTCAAATCTTGGCACATATACAGGTGCATCTTCAGAGTCAAGTCCTCAGGTGGGTACTCTGAAATGGCGCCTTCCTAAGAACTAGCCCCTTTACTGGGAGGCTTCATTCACTCACCGAGAAATGCCTGTGGGTGATGCACTGATTTCATAGACACCTTCTTTGCTAAGGAAAGAAAACAAAAGAAAAACTCTTAATGTGAGAAGTGGTTTTTACAGGCTTACAAGTATACACTCAAAAGCTCCAGAGAGCCAAAGCAGGGATGAATGGTAAGACCTACTGTCTTACCAAATGCCCCCTCCTCTTGCTGAAGGCCAGATGTCCACAAAGGACAATATTTATAGCCTTTCAAAATAGGAAAGTTATGGATATGAGGCTATGAGGGAAAATAACATGGGCTCGCTCCTCAATATATCTACCCCACAGTATCCTCTTCACCCTCATTCAGTTTGCTACCCACTCAATATTCAGCCTGTGCACATACACTGGGCACCAAATTACCCCATCAGCATTTTCTCCTATCACATGTAAAGCTGCAGATTTTCCTTGTCTACCAGCACCTCTAAAATGGCTCTCTGGCTGCAAGCTGGCTTCTGCAGAGTCTGTGAAGGACATCTCCAACCTTCATAACAACTTTAAAAAGGCAGTTTTAACCAAGAAACCAGGGTGATTTTAAAGGATCTAATGTAGAAGATAACAATGCCTTTTCTTTTAGTTTCTGGAAGAATTAAAAGACAAATCTAAAATAATCTTTCCCTGGGACTGGTTATTCAAATGCCAAACTGTTGCCTGTCCAATGACGAAAAAAGGCTGCATGCTTTCAACATAGCTATGGCTAGACAGCAAGGCCAGGGGAAGTAAGCTAGACACAGAATTTTTCAAATGAGACACAGAAATGGAAAACTAAAACCTTGAGGGCAACAGCCTGAATAATGCCTTACGGGAAACATCAAACTTGGCACCTCTCTAGGGCTGGAGTTTTTCTAAGATCCCAAAGATCTTGCCAAACCTAACCACATAACACAGCAGTGAGGGAAGGAGACATAAAACTCTTCATTTTACAACTGAGACAAGGGGCTAGACAATTGCTCTGGGTCACAGAGCAAGTCAGTGATGGAAAAGAGCCCAGAAGTTATCAGATCATGCAGACAAGGATAGAGAGGGGTCTAGAATGAAATATTAAGTCTGGATACTTGGGTTCAAACCTTGGCTCTAACTATTACTAGATTCATAGATTGGGGAGCATTATACTTGCAATGCTCACACTCCAGAGTTGCTGGGGGGACATGCTTCCCAATCTCTAAAGCACTAGAAAAACAGAAGCAAGCGCTACTGTACATAGATTATCTGGAGTCACACCAAGATTCATGGACTAGAAGACAAAAGGCAAAAATGGCCAATGATGGAGGGGTTTCGGGAAGACAGGCACAGTAGCATGCCCTTGACATAGCTATGGAAAACAATGTGGAATTATGCTAAAAAAAGAGGCCACATGTTCATACCCTCTAACCCTGAGATCCCGCTGTTAGGCATATAGTACAGAAAGAAAGTCCTATACAAAATATTCATAGCGATACCTTTTCGTGGTTGCAAAGAACTGGAAACTAAATAACTGCCAATTGACTTGGGAATGCCCACATGAATTGTAATATATGAACATAAAGGTATTATTCATGCACTATAAGAAACCATGAATATGAGAAACATGGGATGACAAACTGATGTAAAGTGAAGTAAAAAGAACCAGGAAAATAAGAGACACCAAAACTGCAACAATATAAAAGAAAGAAAGAAAAAATGAAACTGAACTCTGTGTGATTAGAATACAAGTTGGTTTCCAAAAAAAGAAATGGAAAAAATGTGCTTTCTTCTCTTCTTTGCAAAGGTGGGGGACTGGAGACCATGGACGTGGGAGGGTGCACATACTCAAAGACACGCCAATGTGCTGGTTAGTTTTGCTGAACTGCTGTTCCAAAAAAAAACCCACAAAAAAGATTTAAAACTTTCTTTTTTATACTTTGTTACAAGAAGACTTGCTGGGGAGGGGAGAAGGATATATTCAGAAATGAAGGCAAAATTAAAAATCAAAGATAACAATTTTTTTAAATTTAAAATATTTGTATTATACATACAAGTTGGTAGGAAAATTTATTAGGAACTATCAAGGGCTGAGAATGCTGCAATATCCTCAACTGGAGCCAGCCTAGGGTAGAGGAAAGGGATAAACTTCAGAATCAGGAGAGACCTAGGTCTGAATTCCAGCCCTGTGACTACTAGCAACTCAACTAACTTTTGGGAATCTGTTTACTCCTGTCTAAAATGGGAGACGTCACTTAACTACTAATTGCCTCATTTTGGCTTTGTAAATCTTGCAACGTTCTAAATGTGAGTTATTATTAAAATATAAATGCACAAAATGGAAATCTTCCTATGAAGTTCCTGTTAGCATGAAAGCGAAAGGGGAAAGGGGTGATTGGCAGCAGTCAAGTCCCTGGTATTCGATCTACGTGGACGTGACAGATCTCAACACGAGCTGGCCAAGAAACATTTGCTGTTGTTCAGATATTTCAGTCATGTCCCGCTCTTCAGGACCCCACTTACAGTTTTCTGAGCACAGATACCGGAGAGGTTTACCATTTCCTACTCCAGCTCATTTTATAGATGAGCAACCGAGGCCACAAGGTAAGTGACTGGCCCAGGGTCTCAAGGCTAGTAAGTGTCAGAGGGCAGATTCAACCTCAGGGAAGATGAGTCTTCCTGACCCCAGGCCTGGAACTATCTCTCCACTGTCCTGATGAATAAACATTAGTCTTCTACATAATAAAGGATTTCAGGCTAACCACGACACTTCTGGCAGGAGGACCCAAGAGGGTGAAGGACCCCAACTTCGGGAAATGTGACACTCTCACCCTTCCCCCATTGGCCTAAGGCCCAAACTGAGAGAAGGGAATGTGCAGACCCCAGCATTATCAGGGAAGCTCAGACCCCAAAAGCAGATCAGGCTATCAGTTCGGGCCTCCAGCACCGTCTGAACAGGAATTCCAGCTGAAGAAAAGTGTCTGTGGTTCTATAAACTTTCCTAAGTTCCTCAGCTGGCTGACAGTGGCAGAGTCCAGCTCCAGGCTACTGCTGCTCAGACTCAAACCCAGGTCAGGAACTTGCAGAGCCAGACCAGAACGGAGATTTAGAGGGAAAGCAGATTAAGGGAGGAATTGGTCCAAGCAAAACAAGCCCTAAGTCTATACAAGAACACTGATAGCAAAGATCCCTTTTTGAGGTAGCAAAGTACAGGAATCTGAGGGGTTGTCCATAAACTGGGGAACGGCTGAACAGGTTATGGTACATAAACAGAATGGAATATTGCTGTGCCATAAGAGAAATGAAGAAGAAAGTTTCAGAGAAACCTAGGAAAACTTGTATGAATTGACGTAAAGTGCACAGAACCAGGCAAGGATAGGCCAAACGCTCTAAGGTCTGCTTTTTGGTGATGCAATATAAATTAAGACAGTATTAAGAAGGGACTACGGCTCTTCATATCTGATAAGACCATTTATCCCTATGCAGGCTGGGTAATTGACCTGTAGGCCAGGACTCAGAGAAGTATACTTGTCAACGCATACCTTTGTTGAGTACTGGTTTATAATTAATAAAGTGTTAGTTTGCTTTTTGTTTCACTGATACAGTCTCTCCAAACCATGAACTTGCATTTGGAGCCAGCATGCACCTGTCCTAAGGCATCCATCAATCAACAAGTATTTATTAAGCACTTACTACGTGGTTAATAATCAAGATGATATTTAAACCACAAGAGGTAACCAGGTTACCAAAATAGAATAGCATAAGGACCAGGAGAGAGCTCTGGGGTGTGCACATGGGGTGGGCGGCTGTGTGGCATGGCAGGATGGAGGAATGAAGAACAGCATCACGAAAACTCAGAGGCAGCAGCACCTCCAGGAGGAGAGCGCTCGACAGCATCAACCAGTAAGGTCAAAAAGGATGAGAATAACAAAGAGCCAGCAGACTGGGCAACTAAGAAATCACAGGCAGCTCTGGAGAGAGCACCTTCAGGTTAGTGATGAGGTCAGAGGGCACACTGACTGAGAGGAGACCAAGAGTAAATGGCTAGAACAGGCATTTGGCAGTGAAGGGAGGAGGGACAAAGGACAGCACCCTAAGGGTGGGGTCAAGCAAGGGCTTTTTAAGGATGGGAGAGACCCTAGAGCATTTAGAAACAGCAGGGAAGACCTACCGCAGAGGGACAGGTTGGACACTGGGAGGAAGGGAGGGAGGCAGAGATGACAGCAGGAATGATAGAAGAGATCGTCTTTGGTCATGAAGGGACTTGGTCCAGTGGGGAGAGGCAGGGATCACACAGGCTGGTCCTCCAACATCCCAACGAAAAGAATAAGCCTCAATAACCAATAGGAACTGAACAACTGCTCAGTAGCACAATTAAGTCCAACAATGAGCAGTCAGTCAAAAAGCATTTTTAGGCACTTACAGTGCCAGGCACCGTGCCAAGTCCTAGGAATACAAACACAAAGAGAAATAAACACAGTCCCTGCCCTCAAGGAACTTATATTCTAATGGAGAAACACATCAAATAAAAGGAAGCTGAAAAGGGGGGGCCCCAGAAGGACACCTGGCCCAGGCGCATGGCAGACAAAGTCTGGAGTACAGCCGGGAAAGGAGTGAGAGGCAGCTGGCCAGGTTACTTTCCTTAAATGGAAGGCCTGGGAGGAGTCATCAAATCAGAGGAAGAGGTCAAAGGGGCAGAGGATAACCTTCCAGCATGGGAGTTCCAAGGCTGGAAGGAACTTCCAGGATGAAGGACCTGGAACAGCTAGAAGTCTGGAGGGCAGCAATGAATTGACCTCATGTGATGAGATCAAGGATGCTTACTGACTGAGTCCTAAGAAAAGAAAGGCATTTTGGATATCACAGGATTTCCACACACTTCACAGAAACGTGATCTTTTTGCCTCGTGGGGGATGGGGAGAGGGACCAAACTCCCAGAACAACTCGGGTAATTGAACATATTCACTTTTTCTATTGATAATGTTTGCTTTTACCATCCAAAATAAATTCATTTCTATACATATCCTCACCTCCGCCCTCTTCTACACAGCAAGCCATCACTTATATCAAAAGAGAGAAAGAAAAGCTAGGGAACATCACTGCAAGAAAAAAAGGAGTTCAACAAAATTTGCCAGCACATCATGTGTGACAGACCACCCGCCTCCGCAATGAAGGGAGCACTGCACTGCTGTGTAAAAAGCATGCTCCTCAGCACTTCCCCGGCTCTCTGATCCATGGGCGTGTTCCCGCCCATCAGTGGAGATCCAAAAGCACGCCCATCAGCCACCAAACAGGGAGATGAGTACCTCAAGCACACCTGAAGATAAAGTGAGACCACGCTATGTTCTTCTTCTCCCTGAAAAAACACATTAAATCCAATTTTCAAACCAGACCACCTCACCAGCACTTCCTGATGGGGGTCATGACCCTGCTGTACTATCCTAAGCAAAGATAACTTCATACTAGCACCCTGGACTTTGGAGCTTCCAGCAACCTGCACCTACAGCAACAAAACGGAGGCCCAGAGAATGGAGGTGACCTGCCCATTCGGAGATCATTAGAGATCTTCCAACATTCTAGGTGGGCCATCTGCAAAAAGCCAGACACTACCTTGCATAAAGGCAAGGACAGAAACAAGACTAACTCGTCAAACTAAAGAATGGCTTCTGTTCCTTTTGGCAGGTGCCCGGAAGATAAGGACCAGAAGAGAACTTAAAGACTATCTAGTCTGCGCTCACCATTTTGTGGAGGAGGAAAGAGGCTCCAGAAAGATGAAGGGACTTGTCCAGGAGTACTCAGATGGTGAGCCAAAGAACCAAGGCTTGAATTGAGGCCTTCAGATCGCAAGGCCAGGCTCTGATCATCTCCACAAAGAGCGGAAAGGTGAGAGATGCAGGAAAATACAGCTCCTATCTGCTCAGATCTGGGGTTGGACTGCTCTGCACACTGATCAGCTAAGGAAGGCACTGCTCTGGAAGAACAAGGCGGTTCGGATAGATGGACAGAAAGCTCACCTCGTTTTCTTGAAGCTTTTTAAGCATTCTGAGTCAAACCAGATCTGATGTATGTCTGACATTCAGTGTTTCAAGGACTCAAAATGGATCTCCCTCTGCTCCCTCAAAACAAACATCAATTACCTGGGAGATTCCCTTCTGGCTCACTTTCCCTGGAAATCAAAGGGAAGTGGATGAGAGAAGGCCATACCACAGCTGAAACCTGCTGCACAAAGTTCTTCCTCCCTTCTCAACAGCATCAGCAAATTCAGGAAGGCCTCCAAAGGGGCCACGTGAACACTCCTTCAGAAGAGGGAGAAGACGGGGGATCAAACCTATAAGGGCTTCCTGAACTGCAGTGGAGATTCAGGTTTCACATTTGGTGTTGTACCACCACACCTCTCAGAATCTTTTTTACTCCAAGGTTCTGTGACTCATCAATAGTAGACAGAAAACAAATTTCTAAAAGGGGGAAGTTACAGGGTTCCACTGTCTGCTCCATCAGGCCAGCATGATACTCACTCAATCACTTGTGGGTCTGGGATCCGACGTAAAACCTGCAGAAAACAAACATGGTAGATTTAAGAACCAGAAAACCATTTTAACATCCTGAATTCACAGAAGTATTCCTATTTCTGCACAGAGAAAGAGGAAGGAGGAATCAGCATTTATATTGCACCTCCTAGAGCACTTGGACTGCAGTCAGGAAGACTTGAGTTTAAATCCACTCTTAGTAACTATGTGATCCCAAGCAAGTCATTTAACCTGTCAACCTCAGTTTCTTCATCTGTAAAATGGGGATAAAAGTAGCGAGATATTTGTAAAAAGCAATCAGCAAAGTGCCTGACGCACAGAAGGTGCTACATAAATGTTAGCTTTTATCGTTGTCGTTATTATTATTATTATTATTATATGACAGGCACTGTGCTAAGCGCTTTTTACAAATATCTCATTTGATCCTCACAACAGCCCTGTGAAGTAGGTGCTATTATTGTCCCCATTTTACAGGTGAGGAAACTGAGGCAGACAGAGATTAGGTGACCTGCCCAGGATCACACAGTAAGTGTCTGAGGATGAATGTGAAGTCAGGTTTTTCTGACTCCAGGCCCAGCACCCTATGCACTGTAGCGCCACCTAGCTGCCTCAGTACTTAACACTTTGCTTACCCTGCTCATTCCTACTGAAATGCTTAGTTTAAAACCAGTCCTTCCCCGCAGTATCTGCTCCCAAACTATACCAAAAGCAGCAAATGTCAAAATAATCTGGACCTCGTTAAAAGATGAAAGAGGAGGGGCAGCTAGGTGGCGCAGCAGATAGAGAGTCCCGGCTCTGAAGTCAGGAGGACCTGAGTTCAAATCCGGCCTCAGACACATAGCACTTACTAGCTGCGTGACCTTGGGCAAGTCACTTAACCCCATTATGTAACCAAAAAAAAAAAAAGATTAAAGAGGCAGAAAAAAAGAAGAGATGAGGCCCACCACATATAAGCAAACAAACCAAGAAGCCTCATGCTCAACAAACCCAAAGACCCATCTTCTGTCAGTATCTGACCAAAAAAAAGACGGATGCTGGAAAACCAGACAGCACTGTGGCCGAAATCAGGCTCAGACCAACAACTCACGCTGTAAAGCAAGATACGTTCCAAACGGACACATCATCTGGATAAAAAGGTTCACATCGTGAATCAGAAGGGCAAGAAGGAGTGCGCCTTTCAGATCCACAGAGAAGGGACGAGCTCAGGACACACAAGGGACAGAGGGTCACAATTTTGTTCACAAAATTTTTTCTGTAACTTCTGCACAAACAAATCCAACGCAGCTTAAAATTAGCTGGAAACAGGTAAATGGGAACAAATCTTGGCAGCAAGTTTTCTTTTCTTTTTTCTGGGGGGTGAGGCAATCAGGGTTAAGTGACTTGTCCAGGGTCACAGAGCCAGTTAAGTGTCAAGCGTCTGAGGCCACGTGTGACCTCAGCTCCTCCTCACTCCAAGGCTGGAGCTCTAGCCACTGCACCACCTAGCTGTCCCTCAGCAAGTTGCTTTGAACCAGGTCTCATTTCTAAGATACATAAATCGTGAGAGTATAAGACCCACTCCCCAACGACAAATCAAAGGAGTTTTCCTTTGATATGGTCATAGCAATGGATATGAACATGCAGTTCTCAAGGAAAGAAATCCAAGTCATCAACAGCCATGTGAAAAAATCCTCCAAATTACGAATAATTAGAGAAATGCAAATTAATGTAACTATAAGTTTGACAATGATGCCAAGAGAAAAATGACAAACGTTGGCAAAGATAGAAGAAAACTGATGCTGTTACTGGACTTGTGAACTGTTCCAGCTATTTTGGAAAATCACTTGGAATTATGATCAAACTATGCATACCCTTTTGACCTATCAATACCACTACTAGGCTTCTATCCCAAAGAGGTCAAAGAAAGAAGTAGAGGACTCAAACGTACAAAAATATTCATAACAGCTTTTTCACAGTATCAATAAGCTGGAAAAGGGGTGCCCACCTATCAGGGCATGAATAAACAAATTACAGCATATGAATGTAATAGACTTATCATAAGAAATGACAAAAGAAGAGTTTCAGAGCCAACCGGGAAAACTTCCATGCAGGAACACAGAGCGACGGGAGCAGAACCAGCAAAACAATCTACACTTCAACACCACCATAAAAAGGAATAACAGTGAAAGACTTCAGAACTCTGATAAGCACAACCATGATTCCAGAGGACCAGTGATGAAGAACACAACCCATCTCCTTTCCAAGGTGATGGACAACCAAATATGAGGAATGAGCTGCATTTTTTGACACTGTCAGTCCAGTGTGATGATTAAAAAGGTTTGAGAGACATAGTTTCTGGGTAATTCATTCACTTTGTTAAGAAGACCAGCATGTTATTAATAAAAGAATGGTCATTTGGCCAGCTGTCTTAGACCAAAGGCAATCATGGTGGTGGCTCACAGTTCATATACCCTTTGAAAAGCAGGTGTTCAATGAGGGCCTGAGAGTGACATCATGTCACCCTTGGACAGAGAAACTACCTCTACACTCAGACCACCACCAGCCCTGAGCTATCCAGACAAAAGGATCTGTCTCTACCCAAGCTTGAGTAGAACACCACGGGCTTCCCCACCTTCGATGAAATTCCTTGTGAGGTTGAGTGGGGTCTGACCAAGAATGAGGAGAGTTCATTCGATCTCATTATCAGTAATGTCCTTCAAAAGACTGAACTTTTTACTTCTTTAAAATCAGGACTTTAAAATCAGAACTCTGGATCTCCCCAAACTATTGGTTATTAATAATCATTTCTTTCATTGGGAATTTGTTTTGCTTGACTTACAAGGGTTTGCTTTGGTTTTCTTTCCCTCCAAGGGTGGGGAGAAAATAAATGCTTGTTAACTGAAAACTATTTCACTCCAAAAAATGAATAAAAATTTCGATTTGAACCCTCACTTTGCCAGAGTCCCCTTGGGCTGGTTCTTCTTATGGGTCCTTGATGCATGCTAGCGGCTTTCTTGGCAGGTGTATTTGTGCAAAGGGACTAGGGGAGGCTTAAGACAAAGGCAGTATGCCTCCAATTAACACTGTTGCTAGTTAGCAAGCAGCTCTGTTAAAGGACTACGGCAAAGAGGTTGAAACCAAAAACTATTATAAATTGGAACTTCTCTATTACTTGTGGATTTCAATTTTTTGATAAAATAGAGAGCCACCAGTAGTCTCTGCTGAACTTGAACTCTGCTCAGTGCGGAAAACCTTCAACAATGAAGTCAACAAACACTTATTAAAGGTCCATTATGTGCAAAGGTCCATGCCAGATGCCAGAGAAATAAAGAAGAAAACCAGAGGGCCTATCCCGAAGGAGGCTATCATTCAGGAGGGGAATAAAGCACAAGGACAAATAACAAATCAGCTGAGGACCCAGAAGTAAACGAAGCAGGAGAGACTGAGGAAGGAAGGAAGAGTCACTTCCAGCAGAAGGGGTTTGATGAAGGAGGGGGCTGCTGAGAAAGACCTTGAGGGAAACAGATGTCTACAGACATAGATGTCAAGGTGTCAGGGGACTCCTTCCATCACAGGCAAGGAGCACAGATCACTGGATGGCAAAGAAAGGCCCTTCGAGATGGTTCCATAGTCCAACCCTGGGTCACTGTTTGGGTTTTGATGGCTGAGAGCCAGTGTAAACAGCAATTGTTTCTGTTCTGGCCAGAAATCCTGAGGGTCTTCCCCTCCCAGACTGATTTTTTTTTTTAGTAGATTAGAGAAGCATCTTTTGCTTCATTTCCTAGCTAGCCTTTATCACTGACTGGGCATTGTCTCAGTCAAACTGAGACCTGGGAAAGACCTTAGCTTAAAAAGGCCAAGGTCTCCTACTGCATCCAGGACACCTCCAGTCGTGTTGATGTTGCCACTGGGCAAGATATAGAGTCGATGACTCCAGAGGAGAGAATGAGACTGGTGACTCTGCACAGCCCTGCCTCACTTAAATCCAATTCATTTACAAGTCAAAACATCACCTTCCTGATGTCAAGGTCCTCTCTGAGAACAACAATAGTCTAACCCCTCATTTTAAAGATGAGTTAAAGAGCAGAGGGTAAGTGACTGGCTCAGTCAGAAGAGCAGTAAGCAGCAAAGCTGGGATCTGAACCCAGGTCACCTAATCTCTGTCTGCCTCAGTTTCCTCACCTGTAAAATGGGGACAATAATGGCACCTACTTCACAGGGTTGCTGTGAGGATCAAATGAGATGATATTTGTAAAAAACACTTAGCACAGTGCCCGTCATTTAATAATAACAACAACGATAAAAGCTAACATTTATATAGCACCTTCTATGTGTCAGGCACTTTGCTAATTGCTTTTTACAAATATCCAACATACATTCCTCATGCCAAACATCTGGGGCTCTAAACCTTTCCTCACACTAGCCAATACATTTGATATACTCCTAAGACTGGGACAGCTGGGTGGCACAGTGGATAGAGCACCAGCCCTGGGGTCAAGAGGACCTGAGTTCAAATCTGATCTTAGACACCTAACACTTACTAGTTGTGTGACCCTGGGCAAGCCACTTAACCCCACTGCCTAGCAAAAAGCAAAAAACAAACAAAAAACAAAAAAGATAGACTCCTAAGATGTCTTCCTTCTTTTACTATTCCAGGCCCAGCTTAGGTGCAGCCTCCTCCCTGCAAAGGCACCAAAGTGGGAGGGGAAAGGACATGCTCAGAGAAGGGGCCCCAGAGCCCAGTGGAGCTAGAATGCAGAGTACATACAGGGGAGCCATACAAAATAAGGCTGGAAAGGTAAGGTAGAACTAGAGTGTGGAAGGGCTAAAGTGCCTGGAAAAGGAGTTTACAGACTCATTCTACAGGAAATGGGGATCTACAGAAGACATGTAATGAGGGAAACAGCCATGATCAGATCTCTAGGTTAAGGTTACTTGGCAAAGTGAGGATTGAGTACCTGCTCTCTCTGTAAGCCTCCCATGTTCCCTCATGTCCCCCACCCCCCCTCAGTTGAGGACTTCTTTTCTTACTTTACTAAGAAAACTGAGGCCATTCACCCTCTCTTCATCTCACAGTCCTTGCCATCATCCCCCAGCCTCTCCTCCTTGCCTCCAATCTCTGATTCTTCTCCTTGCTAAGGTCCTTCTCCTGTGCCCCTCCCATCCCACCCCCTCCCGTCTTCTCCAACACCATTCCTCACTTCTCTCTACTCTTCAACAGCTTCTAGCTATGGTTTCCTTCCTTACTGCCTTTAAAAATGCCCAAGCCTCTGCCATCCCCAAAAAATCTTCATGGGGAAGGATGGGCAAAAACAAAAGAGTTAACCCTGTCAACAAGGAAGACCGCTTCTGCCACTGAGGGCAGAAGGGCATCAGAAAAGAGATATTTACATAAAATGAAAGTAAGGTGTTAATGAAATACATTATCAAGTCAATCATCCAGTGCTACTGGAAGGGATGTTAGTGGCTCGATGCCTGGAACCTCAGGATACTTGTGCTCTATCCTCACCTTCAGAGCAAAACCAGGCTGTGTGCAACCAGCGGACCTTTCTTTTCTAGGCTTAGTTATCTGATGGGTAAAACAGGAACAACACTTGTCTGCTCCAGATTTTGTTTATATTATATTGTATTTAGTTATTTATTTTAGGCCTGAATAAAGCACTGTGAACTACCTAGGAATAGTTTCAACCTACCTGTTTTTGTAGTGTTATTCACACAGTCCATCACCTACCAAACCTTGTCACTTCCTCCTCACCATGTCTAACCCTCTCTTCTGTCCAGATATAGCCCATCACTTTAGGTCACGACCCTTCACCTCTGGCCTGAACTATTTCAACAGCCGCCTCCTCCTCACTCTCCCTACCTCAAGACTCTCCCCAGACCACACCCAGACAGATAGTAGCCAGAGATCTTTCTAAAGCTCAGGTCTGAACATGTCGCTCCCCTACTTAATCAAGTCCAGCAGCTTCTTTTCACTCACTCCATAAGCAAACACAAACTTCTCTAGTGGCATTTTTAGCCCTTTACCACCTAAGCCCATGGTAGCTCTCCAGGCTGTCATGCATCCTCCCCTTCTGAGCCTTAGGGTTTGGTCAATCTTTTTCTCTGACGCTGTCTCATACAGAGCACTCCACTGCCCATCTCCATGCCCTTGCAGACCTGATTCCTCGAGCCTCCAATGCACTCCCTCTCTCGGAATCCACATTTTTCCTTTAACACTGAGCCCAGATACCACCTTCCAGACAGAGCCCTTCCCGACCCTCCCTGCTGTGGACACTCTCCCCACCCCTACCACAAACCACCTTGTAGCTCCTGGGTGATGCTGTGCATATGTCTGGCTTACATGGTGCCTCTCTTCCCCCCAGAATGGGAGCTCCTTGGAACCATGGGCTGTTTCCTGTTTGTCTCTGGATCTCCAGAGCCTAGTGTAGTGACTGTCTGGTATACATTTAAGCACTTAATAAATGCCTGCTGATTGCTAAAGAGTTCTTTTCCTTAATAGTAAGTATATTTTAAAAATGTCTTTGATTCCGCTAGCAGAGCCTGAAGGAGTGCTTACCTCTGCCTTTGGTTCTTTATATACAAACTGTCTTTCAGGTGGAAGTGACTCCCTTTTCATCCAGGTCTGTGCAAGACCTTGGGGGGCGTGGCCTTTGGCACTGAGAGCTAAAGCAAAGGAAAGAATGAAGTCAGACTGAGGGTACCACCAAACAGCTGAGCAGAGGGAGCAAGCCGGCTCCTCACATCTCACTAAGCAAGCCCCAAAAGCCTCCTAGCTGGCACTGGGCCTCCCTGGCACCCGAACATTTTGGGCCCAGAGAGGACTTGGGGGGGTATGTGTGTCCTTAAGAAAGACTCCACCATCACAGGACAAACCTCAGGAGCCCCCACCGTCTTGCCTGGCTTCACAGCGGCCTGACTCTTGGCAGGGCCTGCCCAGACACCCTGCACACGGACTCTTCGTCTCTTGTCATCCATGGTCATCAAAGCACTTCCTGCTCTTTGTGGTTGTAGTTTGTTTTCTCCCTGAGGCAAACACAACAGATTCCTTCAGTCAGAACAATTCAATTCTCCCAGCATCTGCTCCCGATCCACTAGCTGAGGCCTGGTGCTAGGTGGTAGGATCCATGAAGACTCCGCTCCTGCTCTCAGAGGGCTAGATGGGGAAGGCAGGAAGGATGGATACAAAAATAACAATGACACAAAGCAGTAGGTGATAAACACAAAGGACAACGCTAAGCCATAAGCTCAGATCAATTTGTGCAGAGGGAGGGACAGCGAAATCAAGGGATCTTCATGGAAAAGGCAAGACTTGGACTAAGCCTTGGAAGGATTTCAATTGTGATAATGGTGTGGGGGAAGCAACAGAGAACGCTCCTGGAGGACGACAGGATCACAGATCTAGTGCTGAAAGAGACCTCAGAGGCCATCTTGTCCGCTCCCTTCACTTTCTGGAGGACAGAGGGGCTTGGCACCTGCCCAAGGTCACAGACTTAGTGACTATCAGAGGCAGGATGAGAACAGACACAGCCTCAGAGTGAACAAAGACCAAGCGGGAAGCAAAGTAACAGTGTAGAGGGGACAACGTGAAACAGTTCTGTGAAAACCCATCTTGAGTTTTGGTTATTACATTCTAACCATTTTATCATGAAATAATACTCCTGTATCTGATTCATCCTTACCAATCAGTCACAAATCCTGTGTTTTCCTTTATGCCGGTAAGAGACAAATTCTAAACTCAGTATCCACTAAAATTACACTAACATGCCTACTCCTCATCAGCCCCCAAGCTTAGAGTATAAGCTCACTTGTGTACGTGGGAAAAGAAACAGGTCAAATAATTCTCTCAAGAAAAATCAATAGTTTAGTTGGGCACAGTGGGTGAAGGTGGGGGGCAGAGCTCCCACTGGTGGAGGGAAGTACCAAAAGTAGACTGACTGACACCTGTTCTGCAACGCATAGTCTCAGGAAATTGTCTAGAGGCATTGATGAGGTTAAGTGACTTTTCCACAGCCCCACAGGCTCCAATCCGGGTCTTTGTGCTTTCTGGGAAGGTTCCATGTCCAATACACCAAACTTCACCTCAGGAGCAGCAGCAGATTAGAATTCAAGTTTTTATAAACTCCTAGCTTTATGTTAAAAAGTAAATCCATGCTATGAGATAAAGTAACTCACCAACTCTTCTATAAAGCAGCTTCAATCACGTAAACTGGCTTGAGGCTTCAGGAAATACAAATTTTCGTCTAGAACATACAGGGGAAACACACTGCAAAGAAAAATCAGAAGGAAGGGGACATGAGGAGAGCGAAAATTCTGACAGCCTTAAAACATAAAAACCGCAGAGGTCAAGAGCCATCGATGTCCTGGGCCCCGCAATGGCACTGTCTTCTATTCATCTATCATCTATTATCATCAATACTCCCTGTTATTATTAATAATGCGAAGAGCCAGAAAGGTAATGTGGCATGGGTGAGGGGGGGCCAGCCTCAGAATCAAGAAGCCCTGGGTCCGAGACCCCATACACTGGGTTACTCAAGACGAGTCAGTTAATGTCTCAGGGCCCCAGGCAACTCTCTAAGCCTACAAGCAACACAGTATACGGAACGAGTGGTGGTGCTGCGTTCAAATCCTAGTTCTACCACTTGCCACCCGGGTAACTTGGACGAGTCCCAACTCTTAATTCTACGAGACCCTCACCCCAATGGATGACATCACCCCACCCCCCGAATGCAGCAGAGTTTACAGAGCAATTTAAAGTTTGCCAAGTTTGCATACACCTCACTGGAGCCTCGCAACAGCCCTCCGGGGAAGACGCTAGTTATGAACGTGCCCATTTTACTGAAGGCACAATAAAGGCACAGCTTTAGAGCTGGTCCACCAGCACGGACTGGGCGCCCACTACGGAGGGGCTCGCGATCTAACGGGGGAGGGGGCGTCTGGTCCAGCCCCGCCCCATCCTTCGGGTGAGGTCACGGGGCCGTCCCTCCTCCCTCCCTTTCCCCACAGGGGCCCCAGGACCGAAGGGTTACGCGGCACCAACCGCCTCGTTTAACAGGTGAGGAAACTGAGGCCCGGCTGAGAACGCAGGAGTCGCTCCGGGCCGGGGCTCTCCTTCACCCCCATCACGGCAGCTCGTCCCTCCGCCCCGGATGCCCCGGAGGGCCGAGGCCAGGCCGAGCTGGGTCGACCCGCGACCCGCCCGAGACCCGCCTACACCCACCGGCCCCTTCTCAGAAAAACTTCCGGCCGACCCCGCCGGCGCTCCAGCTGCTTCCGGTGCCGGTGCGGCGCTGCACGCGTCCGGGCTGCAACCGCCTCCTTCGATCCAGAGGGGCCTGAGGGGGAGGGGGGTAAGAGCAGGTGGAGAGAAAATGGGAGGAGCCAGGATGGTGGGAGGAGCCAAGAGGGGAGGGGGAGGAGCCAGGAGGGGAGGGGAGGAGCCAGGAGGGGAAGGGAGGGAGCAGCCAGGAGGGGAGGAGAGGGAGAAGATGGGAGCGGGGAGGGAAGAAACCTGGAGAAGGGGAGGGAGGTGCCAGGACTGGAGGGGTGGGAAGGTAAAGGTCAAGTGACTTGTCCAGGGTCATACAGCTAATGCGTGTCTGAGGTCAAATTTTAATTCAGGTCTTACTGACTCTGGGCCCAGTGTTCTACCCACTGAACCACCTAGCTGCCTCTTTTATTTGACACATTGGAAAATATTCTGAGGAAGGGTTTGTTAGGCTTTACCAGACTGCCCAAGACCTAATGGATAAGAACCCCTGAGTTAAACCCAGAATATGTGGGAGAACACCCTACCTCTGAACCGAGGACAAGAATGACGTGGGCGAGTCTTCTGTCCTGGGTGACCTCTTGGCAATCATGAGGTACTTCTGATGCCCTCATACTTCCAGTCTGGCACAGGATGCCTTCTGCCTTCGGCCCCAGCCTAACTTCCACCTGTTCAGGGCCCCCAGGATCTCCCCTTCCTGGGGCCCCTCCAAGCTCCAGTTGCTGAGAATCGTGACTGCTGCTCACACCCGTTTAAATGGCAGGAAGTCACCGTCTACAATCCTTGTGGCTTCAAAGCAGTGCCCTCTACCCTGCTGCTGGGCCTGAAGGACCTTTGGCTCTTGCCACTATCCACAGATCACCAGGCTTTGTGTGGACTCCCCCCTTCAGAATGTGAGCTCCGTCGCTTTTGTCTTTCCATTCCCGCTTAATAAATAATTATTCCATTCAGCCCTCTGAAATAAAGACCTCTAATCTAAACAAAAGTATTCTTCCAATAATGCCATAGGGCCCTACTTCCCTGAAAGCCACAGTCTTTGAAGAATGAAAGTGGAGGATCACCCAAAGGGTGGTGGAGATGCCTGTGCTGCACATGAGTGGGCTGGAACACAGGGGCAAAGAATTGAACATAAGTGTCGTGAGAGAGGTGCGACTGGAGAAGAAAATGGCCGGGCCATGTAGTCAGATTGTGGGAGAAGGGATGAGGAGCCTGATGCTCTGATGATTGTCACACTGTGTCAACAGAGCTAGAGGAAAAAAACCTAGCCCTTTGGGATGATCCCCAATGGAAGATTTATTGGACAGCATGGGGAATGGGGGTGGGGGAAGGTTAACCAGAACAAGGGGGCAAGGACAGGCTATGGTCTGCACCAGGGAAGGCGGGCTTTCCTCAATGGGTTTAAAGCAATTCCATTTTAGGTATATGTATAGCCTATATCAGATAGCACATTGTCTTGGGGAGGGAGGTGAGGAGGGAGGGGGAGAAAAATTTTAAATCCAAAAGCTCACGGAAGTGGTTGATGATTCAAAATAAATCAATTTAAAAAAAGATTAAAAAAATAAAACATGAATTCCTTGGGGAAAAAAATTCGGTTTTAGGCAATTCAGCCACACCCCTTCCTCTCTTGGAGATCCTGGGTAAGGTACTTAATTCCTCTGAGCCTCATAGGATGGTAGACCTCCAGCTGGAGGGACCTGAGAGGTCATCTTGTCCAATCTTTCATTTTACAGAAGAGGAAAGTGAGGCCCAAAGGAGTAAAAACAGTTTTCAAGGTTTTGAGTTGCAATTTTTTCTCTCTCCCCCTCTCCCCAAGACATACACAGAGCCTACCAGTTCCAGTTCTCAAAGCTTGTCTCAGTGACAAAATTGCTAGTTCTACAAGGCCTCCTCCACTATCTTCAGCTGGTAAGCATTCAAGGTGAATTCTCTGAACCATCGTAATCACTCTGTATAGACCTTGGGTTATTATGGACTTCATCTATAAAGTGGGAATCATACTACTATTTACCCAAGTTTGGAGGTGGGAAATTATATAGCAACGTGAGAGTAACTCAATATTTTAAACCAGTCGTTCTTCTGAGCTCTGCCAGGGCACAATCACTATGGAGTTTGTGAAAAGACCACCTTATGTTTATGTACTCTAAACCCAGCTCCAGGGAGCTCAAAGTGCCTTAGAGATTTATTGATAGGGCGACTTGTAATAATCCAACCCACTTTCTATATTATACAGTCTTCTTCACTGCACCTTGTGAAAAGGGTGACATCCACAAGCAGCCACTGAGACTGGCCTCCTGACTCTTTCTCATCCATCCCCTGACTCTGGGCACTGTCACCCATCATCCCCCAACCTGTAACATCCTTTGATTGCTATCTCCTGGCTTCCTTCGAGTCCCAGCTGAAATCATAAAAGAAGCCTTTCCTGATCCCCCTTCATGACAGTGCCTTCCTTCCGCTGGCCATCTCCAGATGATCCTATTTCATTTGTACATAGAAGTTTGCATGTTGCCTCCTCACTGGACTGTGAGCTTCTTCAGGGCAGGGATTGTCTTTTGCCTTTATTTGTATCCCCAACACTCAGCACAGTGCCTGACACATAGAGGTTTCTTAATAAATGCTTGTTGATAGTTCCAAAGGATTCATGATGGAAAATGGGATTCACCTCCAGACAGAGAACTGATGAACTTTGAGTGCATGATGAAGCATACTTTTTTCATTTTCTGTGTTTTTCTTGGTTTGTGTGTGTGTGTTGTTTTCTTTTGCCACATGGCTAACACGGAAATGTTCTGTGTGACTTCACCTGTATAATTGAAATCATAGTGCTTACTTTCTTGAAGGGTAAGGGAGAGGAGGGACAGAATTTGGAACTCAAAATTTTAAAAAGTAAATGTTAAAAAATATTTAATGGTATTGGGAAATATTTAGTGAAATAATTTAAAATTATATTTAAAAAAGTAAATGCTTATTGTTTTAAAAAATAAATAGATGCTTGACTTGAGTGACTTAACCGAAATCAATGATACAAGCAGACCCAAATTCCTAACTTTCTTAGTCTCAGAGTATTTGTTTAATGGGATGCCTCCTGTTAACAGGAGGCCTAGCAGGCTGTTTCTGTCAGCTCCCTGATCATGGTTTTGGAAGAAGGGCAAAGATATCTAGTCGGTGAATCACCACTGATCAGAAACAGAGAAGTCTTACTATCCTTTCTAGGTCATTGTTTCCCAACAAGGGCTTAGCATGGATGGATGGAAAATATGATCCAATCCAATCCAACAATTCAATTCAACACATCTGTTAAGTACCTATGAGCTGTACCAATTACAGAATGGCTGAACAAGTTGTAGTATAAGAATGTAATGGTATACTACTGTGCTATGAGAAATGACAAGCAGGTGGATTTCAGAAAAAACGGTTAAAACTTACATGAACTGATACAAAGTGAAATGAGCAGAACCAGGAGAACACTGTAAGCAGTAACAGTAACATTATACAATAATTAACTATGAATAGCTTAGCTATTCTCAATAATACAGTGAATTTCAAAGGACTCATGATGAAAAATGCTATTCACACCCAGAGAAAAAACTGATAGAATCAGTTTGAATGCAGATTGAAGCATACTATCTTCATTTTTTGTGTACTGTGTTTTTAAAACTTTTGATGTTTCTTCTTTCACACGTGATTAACATGGAAATATGTTTTATATGACTGCACATATCAAATTGCTTACTATCTCAGGGAGGGGGAGGTAAGGGAAGGAGGGAGAAAATCCAGAATTCAAAAAAATATTTAAATGAACGTCAAAATTTGTCTTTCCACGTAATTGGAAAAAAATACTGTTTTAAAAAGTACCCATGGGCTGGGCCCTGCCCTCAAAGAACGCATTCTAGAAATGGATACAACTGATGAATAAATGTACACAGACGGGTGAATGCAAAATGCCATTTAGTACCATCCCCTCCTTTTACAGATGAGGAAACTGAGGCTAAGAAACCCACCCCAGATCGAACGAGGAGTGTCAGAGGTAGGATTTGGCTCCAAGGCCTCTCCGTTACACCACATTGCCTCTTGCTAGCTTAACACCTGAAGATTTTCTTGTTCAGTCATTTCAGTCACATCCAACGCTCCATGACTCCACTTGGAGTTTTCTTGGCAAAGATAGTGGAGCGGTCTGCCATCTCCTTCTCCAGCTCATTTGACAGATAAGGAAACTGAAGCAAATGAAGTTAGGTGACTTGGCCAGGGTCACACAGCAAGTGTCTGAAGCCAGATTTGAACTCAGGAAGATGAGTCTTGCCGACTCCAGGCCCAGTGCTTTATCCACTTCGCCACCTAGCTGCCCATATCTGGGAATACCAAAACAAAATTAAAAAAAAAACAGTCCCTTCCCTCAAGTAGCTTATATTCTACTGAAAGGATACAACATGCAAATAAATTAGCCAGCTATTTGGCACAGTAGTTAGAGTGTTAGATTTACAGTCAGGAAGACATGAGTTCAAATCCTACCTTACTGGGTGTGGAACTATGGGCAAGTGACTTATTGAACCTGTTTCAGTGTCCTCATCTGTAAAATGGGGACTTTTCCAGGGCTGCCGTGAAGATCAAAGAACATAACATACCTAAAGCACTCTGCGAATTTCAAAGTGCCAACTGTATGCTAGCTGCTATTATCGTTATTAATACAGTGATCAGACGAGCATGTACATGACCATTTGAGAAGAGAGGAAGGACCAATTAGCAGAACTGGGAACAACGTCCCAAACAGCGGGTGAAAGGAGTCATGGATTCTTTCAATGCTAGGAATTCTGAGAGGCCGAGGGGAGGAGGGAGTGCGTTCCAGGCAGAGGGGACAGCTTGGCAACACTGGGGTGACAAGAGACGGAACGCTCGATGTGGAGAACAAGTGTGTGTGTGTGTGTGTGTGTGTGTGTGTGTGTGTGTGTGTGTGTGGTGTGTTGTGTGTGTGTGTGTGTGTCTGCAAGGCGGAGCGTGTGGAGGGCAGTAAAGTAGAACACATCTGGAAAAGGAGGTTGCAGCCCAACTGCGAAGGCCATTCCGGGTGCGTGCTGACTCCCACTTCTGCTAAATTTTGACTTACCAGCTGATAAGCCAACCAGGATGGAATGAGGAGGTGCGGGCAACTAGTATGTGCGTATCAATCAATGAACATTTAGTAAGCACCGACTGTTGTGCTAGGCACTGTGCTAAGACATACAAAAAGAGGCAAAAGACAGTCCCTGCCCTCAAAGAGCTCACAGCCTAATGGGGGAGTATTAATTTATGATGAAAGGAGACTTTCATTTCACTCATGTCCTCCTTGAGTGTCACAGATGTGTCTGACAACTGGCTCAGAGCAGTGATGGAGGTTGCTGGGATCTTTGGGGAGACTCCCAGATAGAATACAGCTGTCTCCTAACTGCAATCAAAGGAGACAGTCTGTTATGTGTCCTTGCTGCCACCTGAGCAAACCACCAATCCATGAAAGAGAACCAGGATCACTACCTGCACGATGCCCAGACTAGGGGAGGTCATCATCACACCCTCCGGTCTTTTAGGTGTGGCTGACATTAAAAGAGCAGAAGGACAAAGGAAAGTCTTGCCCCTCCCCCCCAACTGACAGCTGGAAGGGGCCTTTGAGATCATCTAGTCCATGCCTTTTTACAGAGGAGTAAACTGACATCTCGAGAGGACTGGTGGCTTGTTCGACAACACTCGGTTAGGAAGCAGCAGAGGATTTCAAAGTCAGTGCTCTTTCCATGACCCCCAGCTGCTTCTGTTGGACATTACAGCGGGCGTGACCACAAGACAAGCATCAAGAGGATACAATCTTTGCCCCATCAGCGACAATTTGTAGTTTTGTTTTGTTGTTTTTTAAAGAAGGTTTTATGTTGTGCCAAGTGAGCAGTTTGGGCTTTGGGAGCAGCGTTAATTAGTGGCAGTGACATGTGCCCACACAGAGTGCGAACAAGGAAGGCCGGTGGGGCCCAGACTGGCTGCATCTCCAGGTCGGTCATGCGCTGAGCCACGTGACACCAAAGGACCCTTCTGGGCCTCCTGCGGGTGTTTTCTTCACGAACCAGAAGCCCGTCAGAGCTTTTTGTGCTGATGTTCATTTAGGTTGTAGGGCAAAAAGGAATAAGCACTAGCCAGAGACAAGGCCACTAGCACACAAACCTTGGTGGGCACACAGGCATCACCACAAGCAGAATTTTATTCGGCACCTTCGGGCCAGGCAAGCGCAGCACTGGATACTTGGGATACAAAGACAAGAAAAGAGCAAGTCCCTGCCTCTGAGGAGCTTACATAGATGCAGTTTTAAAAAGACCTTACCGAAATCCACACAAACTGTAAGGAGCCTCCCTTCCTCTCCCCCCACCCCTCAACCAGCCAGTACCATTGTACGCAATTAACCCCTTGTCATCCCTTAGAATGGTTAAGAGTGAGAGAGCAGCCAGGCTGTCACTCAGCAAGTACAACTCAGATAACACAGATAATGCCCGGCAATTTTGAGGATTACAAAACCGGGTTATGGTTGGGGGGGGTTTTTGGCCCTGATGAAGCTTTTGAGGTCCCCTGCCGGCTGTCTAGTACTGTGAGTTAGTAAGAAGCTCTTTAGCAATCTGCCCCACCCCCTCCACCCCCCACCCCCCTTAGCCTGATGCCGTTTTGTTTGCTAAGCAAGGATTCCCCACTAATTGAGATAAACTCTTGTTTGAAGTTTCTGACTTAGTCCAATTGGCTTGGAGTAAGCAATCTAAGGCAGAAACCCCCTGGAAATAGGTTTTGCTTTCTCCAGTGGTAACTGGAGATTTAAAAGGTTAGTGTTCTACAGATGGCTACACTGGACCATCTGCTGGAAATCCTGGATGGGTTCACCCCAGCTTTAAGTTTTCTTGGTCTTCTTCAGGCAGCAAGCTCGCAATCCCTTGTTTACAGACATTGAAATTTTCATGAAAAGCCATGAAGGCATCAGTGAGAAGATCCAGCTCTGGAAAGGAAAAAGATAAAAGAAGGTTCTTTGCCCATCCTGCACAAATTGAGGATTTCCCTGGTGTGGCTACCCGCTCACTTCCCAGATGAAGACTGTCATCTCTCCCTCTGACCTCTGAGTAGAGCACCTTCTAACCTAGACGGGCTGTAGCAACCATCATCCTTTAGCCATCTTGGTGATAAACTTCTTTTTTTTTTTTTTGCTAGGCAATGGGGTTAAGCGACTTGCCTAGCTAGGGTCACACAGCTAGCAAGTGTCAAGTGTCTCAGGTCAGATTTGAACTCAGGTCCTCCTGACTCCCAGGCCAGTGCTCTCTTCACTGCACTACTAGCTGCCTCTGATAAACTTCTTCTGATCAACCTCAGCTGCTCTTCTGGCCACTGACACATAGAGTCTAATTCTGGGCTTCCATGGGAAGGGTTTCTACCCCAATAGAACCTGCCAGAACCCTTGTCCCCTGATAGCCTAGGGTCAACTACATGCAGAAGGAGGCACTGGACTTTGCAGCCTTCTAGGTCCTTAAGTGCGGCCTTTTGTACGAATGCAAATTTTACAGAACAAATACATGGCCTTCAGGCCACAGGTTCCCCTCCCCTCAATTATCTTCAGAGGATCAGACATTCAGTTCATTTGTATTTGAAGCAGCCAGGGCACCTCTACCAATGTAGCCGATCACTTTTTATGCCTTAGAATTATCTGGGCCTCTGAGAAACTGCTATGTAACTTGCCTAGGGTCACAGAGCCAGTATAAACAGAGACAGCAACTGAACTCAGAGTTTCCTGACTCTGTGGCCAGATCTCTACCCCCTAAGCCAAGTTACTTCAACAACAAATTTTTTTTAAAGAAAAAATTGATATTTAAAGTTATCTGATATTAAGGCTTTTTTCCCCTCAAAGACAGAAGCTAGTGTAATCCAAAAATAATTTCTTATCATGTCTAAAAAGTATCAGTGTTTGTTACTGTACTCACTGCTTCAATACAGAAGCTATGACTATAAAGAAACATTTTAAAAAGTATCTTATTATACAAATAAGAAATTGAGACATGAAATCTCTTTATTCTCGATAAAGGAAAACCTGCCATAATGCTGTGGACCGGATAGCCATTGGTGCGGGACTGCAGACCAACGGTCTTAATTGCAGACTTCACAAACGTCTCTGAAGATGGCTTATCAAAGGTTGGCTTTCGGATTTTTGCCAGTTTCGTAGCCACAAAGAACGGCAGGACACTCTGGAAAACAAAGCATATTGACCTACAGTGAGAAAGCACTATGTTGCTAGTTAATATTTTCACAAACAGAATTCTCCAACAAAATGATGCATCTCAAGTTCTCATCTCGAAAGGGAAACTTTCTTCCCTCCTCAACAGAAGGCAGCAGGACAGGACACAACCTATAACACGAAGAACCCACATGAGAAATAATCACCCACATCAACCAAACAGGAAAAAGAAGAGAGAAATGGTAGGAGTGAGCCAAACTGAGGCATCAACTGGGAGACCAGAATGGCCCAGGACAGGATGTTCTTAACCCAACAATTATGCTAAACAGAGCACACAGAATTATTAAGCAAAAAATGTTGAAGATTTCAAACTGCTGTAAAGGAAAAGCACAACCTCCTGCTTTGGTAGGTTGGATTAAGCCTGTTTGAAAGTGCATTAGCCATGTGATACATCTGTACTGTCTGGTGCCTGTGTTCGTGGAGGTGCCCGCCACTTCCCCGAATTCCTCTCTGATAAGAGGTTACACCAATAAAGGTGGGGTGAAGGATGTTACAGTGGCTGGTTGTAGAGAGAACCCACCTAACTCCAACACTATTTATCCAATGTCAAGACAAGTAGAAGAAGGCCCCTAGAACAGTGATGGAAGAACGTGGAAGATCTGTGGATCTGTCAGACGCTTGGTTTCCCATGGGCAGAGGTGATATAAGCAACATGGGATTAGAAGGCACAGAGAGGCCATGATTACTGGAGAGGGCATCCACCCATCAGAGCAGCCAGATGGCTTTACTTTTGAGATAGATAGGTGAAAGCATTTATTAATCACTTCTTAGGAGTGTTACAAACATGGGATATTTGGCATAAATGATCCCCACTTCCCTTTGAAAATCCTTTCTGTCACTGTCTCGTTAACAACATTACGGCACACAAATAGCTCGATAAATATGAGATCAGTGTTGCCAGCCCCTCACCCACAACCCAAAACGGAAAACCAAAATCTATGGAATTTAAAGGAACCTCCGTGATTAGAATGGTCGCTCTCTGCAGCTTGTAATGATGAACACACATGCAGCATAATAACCACCAACCTCTAGAAACCATGAGGTTGCACTGCCCAGCTGGGCCACTGGGTGGTGCCAGAGGACAGCTCATCATTCAGGTGGGGACCAGGCCAGCAGACAGCCCAGGTGAGCATTTGGAAAGACAAACGAGCTGGTCTTTCAAATCAAAGCCCTCCCCTCTCTAGCAGCCAAGGTGGCAGCTGTCCAGGGCTTAGAGCTAGAAGGGATCCTAGAGATCATCTATTCCAGCCCCCTCATTTTACAGATGAGGAAACTGAGGGCCCTGAGGCACTAAAACATTTGTCCTCCCAAGGTCACACAGAAAGTGGAGTCCTTCGACTCCAAAAACCTGCTGCATTAACTCCTTCCCCATTCAGCTCTGGGATGCCCTGGTCTAGTTTAGGTAAGGGCTTTTCTCCATTCATAGAGTCTTAGTCTCCTCCCAGTGTCCTAAGGCATTTTGTCACAACCTCTCCTCACTCATGTGTGTGCCCCGACACATTTGTACACTACTCTACTTCTACCATCGGGGTGCTGATTTCCAGCTTTGCATCATCCCCAGCACCAGCTGTGGGGCCTTGTGTGCTCGGTATGAGGCGTTTGGTGAAGGACTGTTAATTTGATTTGAAAAAGAACCACAGAATGTAAGAGCTGGAAGGAATTGCAGAGACCATCAACTCTAAAACCCTTGACATCTAAGGGGTGGGGGTGGGGGGGAAGAGGCCTCAAAAGGCCAAATGGCTCTCCATGGTCAGACAGAAAGTACCAAGTAAAAGAGCTGGGAGAGGAGCCTGGGCTCTTGGCTTGGTTTCTAGACTCGAGGGAAAGAAAGGGCCAGGAGTTTTCATAAAATCAATGCTTCTTTGCAATCAGAGGAGGGCATTCAGGCAGACAAGTGATTCTAACACTCCCTCTAGTGGTAGAAGTCCTACAAACTTCTTATTCATTCCTCACCAAAAATGACCTCATCTCTGATTCACTTTAGAGGCACCAGTCTTGAGCAAAGGATCAGTTCTTGCAAAATTATAATTAAACAAATAAAAGGTCAAGGCAAATTTTATTAGCTCAAGTGCCACAATATGAAAACATTCCTCAAAAAAAGAATATTAACCAAGTTTAATCTGATCCCAGATTCTATGACTATGTTTTGATACCTCCCAAACTCACCCCTTACAAGAGAAGGTTAGCTCTAAAAGACACATTCTGGAAATATGCATTTGGCCATTTAATTTAAAGCATTAAGTACCTACTCTCTATTAACCACTGTCCTAGATACTGGGGACACAGACAAAAACACCACAGCCCTGTCCATAAGGGCCTCTATTGCAAAGCCCAAAATGCCTCAGGTACAATTTAGAAAATTTGGGCTAAGCTAAGGAATGGGAAACTAGAGATGCAGAGTCTTTGCCTTTTAAAAAAATCAGGAGCAATCTTATTTTGTATTAAATTATTACTGAAATGCATTTCTCCCAATAAGCCTCAGAGGCAGAATTTACAAGTACAATTTTAAACATCTTCAAGATTTCACCACTTAAAATTCAATCTGCTGTGAATTCAAAAGATCTAGTCCTCTGAATAAATTATGCCTAGAAGTGGCTACTGATATTGACACGGACCAAGAAATGGTTCTACTTTGATAAGGACAAGACTATGTAAGACTATAGCCAGTTCTTATTCAAAGGTTTTAAACTGTCATTAAAAAGAGTATTTCTGTTTTCAAAGACCAAGGAAGGCGATTTCATATTAAGTAAAATCCCTCCCCCCAACGAGGAGTTTTTTGGGGACCAAAGACGTTCAAAAAATCTGCTTAAGGTCACATGCCTAGGCTAGAGAAGAACCAGGAAGCAAACCTACTGAAGAGGCCCCAAGGTATATCTCTGCTGGGACTGGAATCAGGTGACTTGCTCCTGGCTCTGCTACTTCATGCCTGAGTGGTGTGGGCAGGCAGCCTGTGTCTCCCAGTTGGACTCACGAGGCTCTGATCCTGACTCTCGGCCCAGTATACTTTCCTCCCCATGAGGCTACGTCATCCAAGGTGGCATTCGAGGTCCTCAATGACCTCTCTGTCCAGCATCTCTCCCCAATATCACCTTTCATACACCAGATGCTCTAGCCCAAGGAGCCTCTTGGCCACTCTTACAGATAGGACTTGCTCTTTCCCCCCTCCCATCTTTAATGACTCTGTTCTGGCTTCCTACAATACCTTCAGTTCTATTTCATTTCCCATCCATTCTTCAAGGATGAGACCAAATTTCACCTTCCCTCATTTCCCCAAGCTAGAAAGGGTATCTCCTGCCTCTTAGCTCCCCGAACACTTTGTATCTCTTTCTCAAAGCACATTCTATCTTATATTATTGTTACCTGTATATGTCTAATTTCTGCTAGACTATAAGCTCCTGGAGGGAAGGGAATATATTCACCTTGCTGTATTATACTTTATTCATAAAATTGTTTAAAGCAACGAAAATATTCCATCCCCAAAAAAACCCATAAAAGAAGGAATAATATCTTCTTAAATCAAAACCATCATCGAGTTTTGAGTTGTTCTCTTCCTTTCGATTCTTCAATTTTTCCACTGACCGATCAATCAGAAAACCAAATGTGACCCATTCCTCTAGAGACGAAAAAGAAAGAAACTGCCAGGTCAATGAACTGAATAGGACTGGAATTAGCAAGATGCCCAGCTCTCTTGATTAGTCAATGTAGTAAAGATAAGGATCATAGGACTAGAAGATGCCAAATTTGGAGTAAGCCCAAGATAAGCCTACTCAAATGAGGCTGACTCTTGTTCAGAATAAGAAAGTCAATCTAATTCCCAGTCATAATGGAAGACAACGATGAAAGAGGAGTCTCAGTTGGCAAAACGTTCTTGGCTCTGGCAATAATACCAAGGATTTGGTTTCTCATCCAGGGAATGATCTGGCCTCTGAAGCAGCTGCCGTGGCCAAATGCCCTACAGATTTTAGACTCTACAATTCCAGAAACAAAAGTGGGTCAGTATCTTCTTCAAATAGAACAAGGCCTCTGGCCCAAATGGGGCTACAATAACCCAGCATGAAACCACTCCTGCTATGTATGTCCTAATATCCTGGCTCTATCAGCTTACTCCATTCTCAGCTGCTTCAAAGGGCTACCTGAGATCTGCTACGAGCTGCCAACATGCTGGTCCATGAGCAGCCTCCCAGGAAAGGGAAGAGTGGCAGTGACCACGTGGAAGGTGATTTCCTATCTGTGCTCGACAGTGAAGGAATATTTTTGAGGGGCATGAAGTCACTCCCTTAGCAAGTCAGAGGTTTACACAGTTGTCCTCAGCTGTGGAGTAGGGGAAGAGGTTTAAATATTGAGCTTGCCCTGTGCTTGGGGATGAGCTATGAGTATCTGCTGTCCTCACCTAGACAGAACAGGCTGTTTTACAGAAAACACCACCACCATCTTTAATTTAGAGAAGTATTCAATGCCTAGAGAGTCAGGAGTTGAGAGTAGTGGAGAGAGAGCCAATCATAAGTCAGGAAGATCAGGTTTCCAGTTCTGCCTCCCAACGGCTGACCCTGGGCAGAAGGGCGTCAGTCTACACAGATGGAGGAGATTTCTCACATCCTCACTGGGAGCTGCCTACACCTATGGATTCACAGGTCTAGCCCATGCAGTCTTGAATTATACTGAAGGCCAACAATTCAAAGGCACATAATCACTTGTTATCACTACTGTTTCTGTCAATAACATAGGCAGTTCATGAGCATCTGGATTAAAGAAACAAACGATGACAGCGGAGGGAGTCTCCTCACCCATGAAAACAAGTATTGAAAGGAAAAGAGAGAAGGACAAGAAGAAGAGAAAAGGGCTTGGCCAGAGAGAAAAGTGTAACATTGGTTCCATGAGGGGAAAATAACAGACGCATCTCCTTCATCCCCCATGAAGTCGAATCAAGGGAATAACAAAAGACAAGTATGA